CTGCCCTGGAGAAGGACTATGAGGAAGTGGCAACTGACTCATTTGAAGATGAAAATGATGGGGGTGAATCTTAAAATTCACTTTGCCCTCTTCTGTGCATAAGATTGCCTCTTGTGTCTCTTTATTTTGCGTGGCTTCCTTTTCCCATGTTTCACACATACCAAGTCTGTAGAGGATTTTAGAAGGGTGCAACCATTATGCGTTTCAAAAACACCATCTCCACCAGGAGACTGCAAGACAATCCAACACAGGATATATAACCAGCTAATCATTAGCTACTGTTCCTCAGAGGTAACAGGCTTCTTTTTTATTTTTTTGCCCATGTATCCTGCAAATAAGTTATTTCTGGAACTGAGAGTCCCTCTGTCTTATATATTGTCACTTATTCAAGACAAACATACAGACATGTATCTCATATCAATCATGTCTCATCCAGTCCTGTGATTTGAGAAACTCTGCTGCTTCAGAATGTCACAAACAGTTGTGCTACAAACACTAAATAGTGTTTAGTGTTCAGTCTTTTTCATAATAATTCAAAACAAAACATTAGAAAAGCTTTAAGAACCAATGAGAGTTCTCAGTTTGAAGTATATCTGCTACTTCAAATGCTTCTGAAAGGTATCCTGTTGAAGATTTTTTAAGAAAAAAAGTATTTAATTCTTTCAATTGCCTCATTCCATTCTGCTTGATCTTGCCAAATCTGTCTATCCTTATTTCTTATTCCATGGGTCTCACTATTTATTGTACTTTCTCACACCCCCAACTATTATTTTTTTTTTATTCCTCCTCATGAGACTGTTCTCAGAAATCTCCTGTCTGTCTAATCTCTACATATCACCCTCTTCAAAAGTCTCTTTCTTTTCTGGGTCTTCTCTGTGAGATGCAATGTGGCAGGTAAGAGAGCTGCAGTATGTAGACATTGAGAGTAGTGACCTCTGTTAGGAGGGTATATGCATATACCCTCCAAGTATATGTATATCCTGCCAAGGATACGTATATCCTGCAAGTGTAGCTGGAATCTAAGGAAGCCCTTAGTATTCATTTACCTCTTAATAGAGACTTGGACAAAAGAGAAAAGAAAGTTCTTGGCACTGGTGGAACCAAGAGCTTGTAGCTAGTTTCAGTTTCATTGCTTCTACAGATTCTGCCAGATGCCATGAGCAGGGGCACAATTCAGGTACTCTTAAACATCCCTGGGTGGTAGTTGTGCAGCAATCGAAAAAGAACTGGTCTGGAAGTGCAACTGTGTGGACAGCCCTGCTGTCACTGCTAACTAGACAACTTTGCTGGCAGAACTAAAGATCTTAAAACGACCAGCTTGTGGAATGCAGGACAGAAATATTGCAAGTTTCATCAAACTTCCTGAAAACACAGTAACCTGGAACCATGACAAAGAATGTTTGCCATTGTCGTCATAGTAGGTGGGATGTCTAAAAACACCAGCTGTGACTTCACAGTGCAGCCTTCATAATTATTATTTTTTTGATATTCCCATTGTTTCATGATTTTAGAACTGTGTATTGCTAAGCTTTTCATGCGGATGACCAATCCCAGCCTGAAGTTAAACTGACAGGATAACATGGGAAAGTGCTGCACTCTGCAGCCAATGGTAGGGGAAAAGGGGCTGACCAGCACCAGGCTGCGTCTAAATTAGTAGGAAAATGGCAGGAGAAGCTACCAGAAATTACACATGGTGAAAAGGGATTTTTGGAGACTCTCCTTGCATGAAAGGCATCAACAGAAACTGAAGGGAGTGCTGCCTTACGACGGTCACTAACTAAGGTTAAAAATTCTCCCCTCCAAAAGAAGTGTGTAAAATCAAAAATTAAAAAAGAAGGGCGGAGGAGCAGGGGGAGAAGAAGGTGGGGTACATGCTTTTTTGGGAGGGAGGTGGAAAGCATGAAAATGGTAATATAAGGCAACGCAAACCATGCAGTAGGTTTTGTTTGTGGGTAGCTATTGAGCAGCCCCAATGCTTGAACAAGACATTAAATCCATTCTTCTGACCTTACCAGTCTGTCTGACTTGCTTCTGTTGGGTGCTGAAAGGTTTCTCCATATAGATAAGAAGACATCCTGGGGGAGCATAGAGGATGATCAGAGAGAACTGAAGACAGTTAGGAAAAACTGTTCTCACTGAAGTATTTACTCATCAAATACAAATTCCAGTAGAAATGCCCTGTATTTTCTCCTTAACTGTAGGGAGCTGTTTGCTGGTAGCTCAGTTTGTATGAGATCTGATGAAGGTTACAAAAAAGCAGATACATCCAGAAACTTGACTGATAAATGCAAGATGCCCTACTTTTTGCCCATCCACAAAATGAATGGCTGGTCTTAGCATTAGAAATTATAGTTCTCAGCATGAGTTATTAGAGTAGCTAATTCTGCAAGTCCTGATCCACTTCTACATATTTTTACATATGTCCACACATTCTGCATATAAAAATTCTAACCTAAAAGGAAGTAACTTCTGAAAATTTAAGTCATTAAAAAAATTAAAAACTGAAATCATTAAAAACTGAAATAATTAAAAAATAAAGCAGTGCAGCTCTCTGTTCCAGGCAAAATGGTTGAAAGCCAGTCTTTTATTGATAGAGCAGAGTTCTGTGACAATACTAAAATACTAGAATTCAGAATTTTAGAATACTGGAAATGAGATATTCTCAAGACTCCCAGTAGGTGGCAACAGAGTGACAGAATGGAGTTTTATAGTGGCCACACTGAAGCATTTACATCATTCCTTTAATTTACAAAGGTAACATAATATGTAGAAAATGCAAAGACTTTTGTGAATCGTATGCTGTCTACATAAGCATCAAAACAAAAGTTAAAGGGACTTAGATAATCACTGAACAACCTCCTAGGAATAAATTTTCTAAGATCTGCACAATATTCTAAATTTTGCTACTATTGTTATGTCACTTAGATAGCTGATATGTAAGGAATGATGTACATTTGATAGAGGAGGTGTCCTTCATGAGACAAAGAAGTTTTTGCCCTTCATGTTTTTTGTCTGTTCAGAATAAAACTGACAGATCACAGGACTTAGTGGTTCTCTTAGCTGAAAATCTATTGAACAGTATTTTCTCTGTATTATTAAAAAACGCTCTTTTCAGAGATTGGTCACTTTAAATAGAAAATGTCTGCAGTTTTTGTATTTCTATTTTATTTTTTCTACTCTGTTGTGTTGTTCTGAAGGGCTCCTGTGCTGGAGCACCCACTATATGTGGACATAAGAGGCCCTTTAAGGACGAATGGACCACTCCTGTTGTATCCACACGTATCCAGACTGTGTGTCCGGCAGGGTAACACTGGCTGTTCCCAAGTGCCCTGGTGCACCAGGATAAGCCGCTCTAGCACTCACACCTGATTCACTTATTTGCACACTTCAGGACTCCATGATTTTTTAATCATGAGTCCTATTTAGCTCTTGTCATCAGCTACCATTATCCCAAGATAAAAACCGAACTGAACAGACCTACACCAGAGCTTTGGACTGCCGATCTTCCCCCTGCACAGCATTTCTTGTGCCTGTTGCCTGCATGACAGAGAGACGGAACGCCTGCCCCTGCAAGCTCACCATTTCCCCCCGCAGGCTGAACGTCAGCACTGAGCAAGTGACTTCATTTCCAAGAAGTCAGGTCCCAGGGCACATCTGCCCGACCTCTCTGTGCAGGAAGCCTAGAGGCCTCATGAGCAAAACCCACCAGGACTTGGGAACACAGTCCCATGGTGCCAGAGGGCTGCCTAAACACTTGACGATGCAGGTGAATGGAATAACATAAGGAAATACACCGCCCAGGTACATCTAGGCCTTCCTAAGGACTTTTAGGTCTGTGTTTGGCTTTCACCCTAGTAAAGATCACCAAACAAAGAATATACCCAATTAAGTGG